CTTCCTGTAGCTGCTATTCCCAAAATACCTGTGTTCCCTTTTCAACTTTTCAGTTCATCTTCACATTACATTGTTTGTTAAAATAACTTGGTGTGGCTTCTGCCTGTACAGCCTGCAGGTAACAACCAGGACAGCCGGTCGTTACAGGGAGAAGGGAGGAAAATCCAGCTCGGGGTATGTACTCCACGTTCTGCGTGGGACTGGTCTCTGCAAGCGGCTGCTGGACTGGTAGACTCCTGAATCATCCAGGAACCCCCTCATTTCCAGGAAAGCGGAATAAAATCTTTTCTGGATAATGCAGAAAGCGCTTGACCGGCGTGAAGAACCACGGCATCAATTTCCTCGGACCAGTAGATGAGAAGGGGCAAAGGACGCACCATGGTGTTGCTTCCACAACGTACTCCGGAAGCTGCTCCGAGGAATAAAACCTCCTGCTTCAGGTTTGTTTGCCAGTTTGCAGTTGTTCTAATGTCGATTTATACCGATTAACGATATATTTACGTCATACCGAGGTCCTACTGTATACTCTTAAGGTTCCTGCTGTTCAACGAGTTTTTTTTTTTTTATCTAAGTCTGCTACAAAGCAGGATAAAAAATAGCAAAATCGAGTAGTAAAGCTATTTTCCAATTTTCTGTTTGCTTGCCTATGAGGCAACTGGTATTGAATGAATCATTCTTGCCTCTTTGAAGAAAGTTACTCAAATCTACCTGTGGTTTTTAATGCCGTCAAATGTAACTCCCAACACTTCCTTTCTCTACTTTTCCTTGAAGCCTTTTTGAATAAGTAAAATATTCTACACATTCATAAATGTATAGCCTGATGAACTGTTATAAAATGAGTATGTATCTACCTGGCATTAAAAGTCAGAAAATACAATCTCCAAAGCGCTGTCCCCGGACACTCCCATCCTGCCTCCCAGAGCTGACCCGGATCCTAACTTTAGGAGAACCACTACGTGGCTTTTTTCATAGTTTGCTCCACTAAGTAGGTCTCCCCTAAGTTTAATTTTGCCTGTTTTTAATTTTTATATACAAAATCATACAATATGTATTTAGGTTTTTTTAAACTAGTATTATATTCTTAAGATGCCTCTGCGTCATTGCATGAGGCTGTATTTCATGCTTTTTTTAGTACCGAATAGTATGGCGGATGTGGAATGGCACAATCAACCTCTATTGTTGATGGACAGTTCAGTTATTTCCAGTTGCTGGGTGCACATGAGCACACAAATTGTGGGAGGTATATACCTAAAAGTGAAATTGCTGAATCATAGGGAATTCATATCTTAGCTAATATCAAACCATTTTCCCAAGTGGCTGCGCCCCCTTCACACTTGCGTGGGCCGCGAATGAGGGCTCTTTGTCCTACATCCTCCCCCACCCTGGGCACTCTCGGATATTTTAATATACGCCCATCTGGTGAGGATGGAGGGATATGCACTGTGGTTTTAATGTGCCCTCTTCTGATTATTAATTAAGCATCTTTTCAACAGCCGATATTTGCTTGTCCTTCGGATTTCTTTTCTGAGGTTCCTGCTGAAGTCACTGACCCACTCTCCGTGGCTGTTCCTCCTCCATTTGCAGGAGCTCTCCCCCTAGCCCCGCGGATCTCCTTCCACCCGGCGGCCTGCCTTTCCTTGCTTTCCAACTTTGGAAAGTCAGGGCGGCCAGGCACCTCTCCGAGAGCTGGGTGGGCAGGGGTGTCCCCGGGCGCCGGCCCCGCCCTCCCCGGGCGCCCCGCCCGCAGTCCGCTGGGCCCGGGCGCGGGGCGCCTCTGTTGCCGGCGGTCTCCAGGGCAGCGCCGGGCCGCGGGCGGGGCGGGGCGCAGGGAGACGGCGGGGCCGGTTGGTGGCGGTGCGGAGGATGCGGGAGGCCGAGGTCGCGACGGAGCTCGGCGCAGGTGACGGGAGGTGGCCTCCTGACCGCGGTGGGCGCGCGCCCGGGGAGGGCAACCGCCTGGGCTGGCCCTGGGGTGGGGGGACAGCAGGACACCCCCGTGGAAACTGGGGAGGGACGGGAGAGCTCCGGGGAGCCCGTGCCGAAGGGCATCTGGGGCCGGGACCGGAGGGGCTTTGGCGCCCGGACCCCCCGAGCATCCCTGCCCCGCGTCAAGTCCCGTGCAGGGCAGCAGGGCTGCCGACCTGTCACTTCCCGGACTCGAACCGCCCTTGTTGGCTGATCTTGTTCATCAGAGGAAAGGCAAAGGGAGAAAACAAACGGCCGGGCCACAGCTTCCGCCCTGCCCTTCTCCTGGGCGAGCGCGAGCGGGCTGGCCTCCCACCTCCAGCGGGGCATTCGCTTCCCCGGCGCCGGGGGACTAGACCCGGCCCTGGCCGTTTCCCAGCGCCCGGATACCGTCAGGGAGACCCCTGTCGGGCTGGCCAGGGGATCTGTCGGCCTCGCGCCGTCAGAAATGTCAGTGAAAACCGTCGTGCCACTAGGGAGCCACATTCTTTGCATTTAAAATGCCCACTTCCTAATCTAGCCGAGCTGTTGGCTAGTCCTCCTTTCATCTCAAGCTTTTATAAGATCAGGCCTCCCTCCAGGAAAGACCCAGGTTTTGTGGCATTTGGCTGTGCACGCTTCATACTCTCCTGAACGTCATCTGTTAACGACAAAATCACTATCTTTTTGTAGGACATTGCTTTTTTACTTATTAATTCTTAAGTAACTCTAGAGTATCTCATTTAAGAAAAGACCAGACATTAGGGCACTGATCTAGTTCATGAAAGAGCAATTCCAAACTGAAATATAATGATTATTTAAGCTGTTTCTTTAAGATCCCAAGTACAGTGACTTGAACTGTACTGTGAAATTGATGTTTATACAAACTCAAAGTTTCACTTAAAATATGTTAGTACTTAATGGACTTGCTGCTTTCTAAAAACACCCTAAAAAGCAACAGTTAATTTGCTTATATTAAAATAATATGGTAGAATGCAATATGTATTTTTTAAATAAGAGACAACACAGCAAAATCAGTTAAACAGTAATATAGTAAACAACAATATCGTAGTTTACCAACAGGGGGAACTTGTAATTTTAAAAAACCCCACTTCATATGTATTTAAAGATGAATGCTACCCTTTGTCTGTTTTGTTTGTCAAGGTGCTTTCCTCCAAGGAATTGATGATGGTGTTTCTTGGAAACATTAGCAACAAGGTCAACATTATTAGCAGCACAAGAAATAAGAATAAGTTCGTGTTATTTAAGTTACAATTTGCCCAAAGAACAAGAGCAAGTCCTTAAATAAATTTTACAGGAAGCTCTTACAGTAAAGGTTTCTGTTATCTGACCTGCAGGAAAAAAATGGCATAAAGGCAGTGCAATAGAAGAGAGCAACACAGAGATGCTCGGTGGAGATGAAAGGAAGCACATTCCAAAATCATTGTCTCTTTCAGTCCTTCATGAACTCAAAGCACCCTTTCCATAAGAATCTTTGGGTCTTTATAAAACAGCCCTTTGAGACAGGGAAGGCTCACTTGGAATCATACTCTTAAGGGAGTTACAAGGGACCCTAGCTGTTATTTGGGCCCATCTTCCACCTCCCCGACATTCCCCAGGAAAACATCACTTTCACATAGGTGAACACCCACTCTGCTAAGAATCACTCAGTGTCAGAATTCACAAAGCCTCCAAATGTTTTGTTGAACATTTTTAAACATTATTACTGATGATTGTAATGATCACCTAGGAACAAATCTGTTACCCTCATTACAATTCCAGCTATGGAAACCACACCCTTCCCTCCTTTACTTTCCAAAAGTTAGACCCTGAACCAGTTTTACTCCACCCATGAATTCTACTGAACATGAGACATTTGTATGGGTGCCCTGGATATTTGAAATAAGGTCATCAAAGTATTCTCCATAATTAACCATTTGGCTTTGCCCAGGCTTATCTGTAACAGGCCCTTTGAGAAAAAGGAATCCAGCCATTTGATTTCCTCAATAAAGCTGCATTCGATTACCAGCTTTACATCAGATGTGTTTCTGTACAGAGAAAAACACAATAGCCTTTCCAATAAACCTTCCTCGTAGTCACAAAAGGGTACATACGAGAGCCAGCCGAAAGTTCAACAAGGCTGTCTTGCTGTTAAACTTTTTGATTAACGCTGGAATTAAAGAGCTTTCAGTAAACACAAAGTGACATAAATGTAATTTTCTTAGGTAATGCTTTTGTGAACCACAACTGTAAATATTCAGCCAACTGCTCCTGTCCACCAAGATCTCCTCTGTTCGCTGTGTTTTTTCAAGATGAGTCATTGTAAATTAACTCCCAAGCTCTCTAGCCAATCTCCTACCCTTCATACCAGCTTAAAGATCCAGTCCAGACAGCCACCTTTTAAGAAAGAAGACTTACACCTGATTTCAGAAGACTCCTTGGAATCTGATTCAGAAAGCCTCATGCAAGAGATTAAGTCCCAGTCTGAACTTGAAGACCGAATCCTGGACAACTATATGGAGGCTGACAGCTTAGAGGGAGGAAGCCCTCTGCGGGGTAGCCTGAGTGAGACAGAGGGGGAAGCCAGCTTCGGAGCAGCTCAGACGGAAGGCAGGGAAATCCTCCACAGTCAGGACGATGGTATGAAAACCAGGTAAGGAACTGGCTCGGGTAACATAACAGTGGGTTCTAAGAGGCACTGTTAAACAGTTACAGGTATGGTCCCAAGTGAGAAAAAGGACAGACTGTCACAGTGAGCACCTTGTCACATGTGAGAGACAGGTCTCCAAGCACTTGAGGGCAGCTAGGAGCCAGGTTTTTTGCCACATATTTTTTTAAATAAAAAAAAAAATAAGCAGAAGACAGGATAGATATTAATAAGGGCAGGTACGTTTCTTAGGCTTATTTCCTGCCTTTATTTCAGTGTCTCCACTGCAGTGACTTTGGAGAAATTCTAGAAAGGCTGGAATAAAAAAGCACCACGACTTGAGGTGAGGCAGTCTTGCTTTGGCCCAGGCGCTGCTGTTTAGTGTGTAATTTTTGGAGTAAGACCCTTAACTCTTTGCAGCTCACTTCCCACCTGTCAAATGATCTGGCCTGCCTGTCTGCCAGGTGGGCTGTGAATATCAGAGAAGTACATTCTGTGAGTACAATCCCATGGGAGCTAGAAGAGGTCTACCTCCCAGGGGCTTATACGTTCATAGAAAGATTTGATTTCTAATAATCAAAATGGATGGGGTGCTAACTCTATGCTATGAGCCACCAAAAAATACAAGGGAATATAAGTTAGTGTACTATTACTCAGTTTTAATGAAAATACTGATATGATAAAGATATGATATAGAAGCAGTTAAAAGCTGTTGATTAGAAAGGGTTTTTAGTGAGGTGGTAAAGTGCATAAAATTTTACCGATAGCGTTTCCTTGTTCCCTATCTCAAATCCATTCCCGTCTTCCTTCTCAGAAGCAACCCATCCATATCCTTATGTGTGTGTGTTTCCTTAGCAATCTTTATTTATTTATTTATTTTGGTATCATTAATCTACAATTACAGAAAGAACATTATGTTTACTAGGTTCCCCCCTTCACCAAGTCCCCCCCACATACCCCTTCACAGTCACTGTCCATCTGCGTAGTAAGATGCTGTAAAATCACTACTTGTCTTCTCTGTGTTGCGCAGCCCTCCCTGTGCCCCCCACACACTATACATGCTAATCGTAATGCCCTCTTTCTTTTTCCCGGCCCTTATCCCTCCCTTCCCACCCATCGTCCCCAGTCCCTTTCCCTTTGGTAACTATTAGTCCATTCTTGGGTTCTGTGATTCTGCTGCTGTTTTGTTCCTTCAGTTTTCCTTTGTTCTTAAACTCCACATATGAGTGAAATCATTTGGTACTTGTCCTTCTCCGCTTGGCTTATTTCACTGAGCATAATACCCTCTAGCTCCATCCATGTTGTTGCGAATGGTAGGATCTGTTTTTTTCTTATGGCTGCGTAATATTCCATTGTGTATATGTATCCTTAGCAATCTTTTACTCATTTCCTTCATAGGTATTTTATAATTAGTAGAGGTGGGTAGGTAGATTGAATGAATGAATGAACAGGGCTGTTGAAAAATTAGCCATGGTGACTAAAGGAACAAAGGAAACCAAGTATTACTTTAAGGTTCTAATAACAATAAATAGCATTTATAGGATGCTTATCATGAGCCCTCCACTGTGCTGAACACTTTAATGTATTATATCATTTAATCCTCATGGCAGCCCAGTAGGCGGACGCAATACTGATCCCATTTTAAAGGTTGCATATGAAGCTTAAAGAGGTTATATCCACTTATTACATCTAGTGAGTGGTGGAGCAGAAAACTCAAGCACTGAGTCTATGCCCTAAACCATATTTTTATCATTGCTGTAATCTACGAGAGCCATAGTCTCCTAGGTAATAAATGGCAGTAGTTTTATTTGCAGAAATGGGGGCATCAGGGAAGGAACGATGTTTTGCTGCAGACAGGTGTCCTTGTCATACTTCCAGAATGAAAAATCAAAGCAAGGATCCTGTAAATGACCTCATCTCCCCAGTACTGAGTTTTCCTCTTTTCAGGGACCTGACTATAACCCTCGCTTCTTACCCAAGGACAATGTAAATACCACTCGATATATTTCAAAATAGAGAATAATTCTTACAAAAGTCAAAATGATGGTTAGGGACTTGGCTTTCTGATTCAGAGATCTGTAAGTAATGCTATTTTCCTTAGGTTGATTTGCCTTAGCAATTTTCAGTGGCAGACTATAATCTCGGGGTTAGAAGGGGCATTAGCCCTAGTAACTGTTTGGCTGTTTAGTGCTTCGTATATTGAACGCTAGGAGGACCAGTTCTCCACTGCAGAAGAAAACAGGACTGAAGCCGTTAGCCAAACAGTGACTCAAAAGTGTTATTCAGGTGAGTATTTAGTTACTGGCTTCTTTCACTTTAGTCTTGGAAACCTTTCCTAGGTGTATTGTTGCTTGGAAGTGAGTAGTTTATGAGCCACAAAATAGACAAATCGATTTCAGTCTCTCAATGTGAAATTCATGTAAGCTTTCATTTCTGCAAGGTAGCTGGCATTCTGGGAATGGTAGTCCGAAAATATCAGTCCGAACACTGCCTGAAAACCAAGGGAAATCTCTTTCTTCTTGCTTTTATAAGCAACAGTTTTAAGAGCTGCCCGATGAAGTACTCGAGCCCTATTCTTGTGTTTTGATGTGACTAGAACCTTCTGAAAGCAATTACTCTCTGTGACTCCCCCACATCAAGCCATAGTTCAATATATATGGATTAGCAAAAACCTTTTACTTAGTGGAAATTGGAGCAGCATTGACCGTAGTGAATGAAACAAGAGTGGAGGGAGGACCCTCACCTCATCCTTAAACCCCACTCCAGAACAAGCCGTATGGCACTTGGCACTCACGAAGAAAGAGATCAGTATAATTCCTAGAGCATTAGAAATAACCTCTTCAGTCCTGGGGCCTTCTGAAACCTTGTATGTTAAAAAAAAAGAAAATCAGAGAGCAGCCATATAGTGCCTAGTATATATGTTTAATAAAGTCTTATTTATGTAAGTATACTTAAGTATAATTAGCTACCATTTGCAGAATAATATGCTTTATATATAGTATCTCATTTATCCTTACAAGAGCCTCTTAGGCATTATTAACCCCGTTCTGCGGATAAGCAACCGAGGCTCTGAGCCCTGTGTAGTTGTATGTAGTTACTAAGCGGCAGAGCCGGCATTGAACTGAATGAACTCTCTCCTAACTCCAAAGCCCAAGCCTCTAATTATAAGCATCTAGATAGACGATCAAGGGCTCATCTGATAAAGGATTCAGTTTTTTATCTAGCAAAAATTAGAGATAGAACAATTTAAAGATGGACTAAAGGCCATATTAGTCCATATCAGTATGGACCGAGGCCAGAGTAAATAATGCATGTAAAATTACACATTTTTAGTAGAGTAATACAATTTTTAAGGGATTCTGTGCCCTGAGAATAAACAAACATGACTTGTATTTGACTTAGGGCATCATGGTCATAGCACCCTATGTGCCTAGTACCTCTCCTGGGAAACAGAAATGTGGTCTGTAGACGGCTTTCCCTCTCATCAGCTGGGAACCATAGCTGCTCCAGAAGATCCCATTCTCTGATAAACCACCTTGTGCCAGAAATTTCTGGGTGGGACATAGGCACAATGAGGAAATTCTTTGTTACACTGAATATTCGGAAAATGTTTGAAAGAAAGGGATTCAGTAGTAATAACTTGCATTTTTATTGTGTTGTGGAGGTAGATCATTTTTCCTCTCAAGTGCTTTCATATATAGTGTTTATGATTAATAATACAAGAATCAGGTGAAGCACTGAATGATGATTTCTAGGACTTAGTAGCACAGCTGGACAACAAAACCGGTGGGCAAAGAGAGTCTCGTAAAGAGCAAAGGTCAGCACTTTCATTTCTGTTCAAATTTCCCAGTTTTCTAGAACACGTTGGAAATACTCAAGCTGAGGGTAGGCTACTTTCTCTCATAAATGTTGAGATTTTTTTTTTTGCATTATTAGGAGAGTAAAGGCCACACTTGAGGCTAGGTTTAATATTTCAGTATTATTAAGAACATTCTGAGAGTTTTCAGGAGTCAACTTTCATTCCTATGGGTTTCTAGCCACATCCATCCGTGTTGATTTCTATTGTCTGCATTATTGAATTAAATATATTTTCACCTTAAGGCCATTGCTTGGCCAACCTCTTCAAACACATTACACTACATCCCTATTCTAGGGGTTTCACACAGTATTTGTGGGATAGCTACTAGCATTTTATGTATTTCTGATCACAGGAGAATAGTTCTAGCAGAGAAGTGACTGTGTCATAAGTATTAGTCATTTCCGTCTTATGATCATTCATGTGCTGACCAACTGTGCTGTCGTTAAACCCCGGTACACTCCTCAGAGCAGGCCTGGTGCCATTGTGACAGATGAGCAGTCAGAGAAGGAAGTAAAGAGTGTGCGTGGGCATGAATTGTGTCTATTACAGGCAGAAACCCCGCCAGAAATGCCATACAGCCACCGTGCCTCGGGGTTTATTGCCCTCAAGTTCCTTTCCAGCTTATTTCAAAGTTGGGATGCATTACAGGGTTAAACCGGTAAATAGTGAATTTGAAACCTCACAAAGTGTAATTTAAGTGTGTATCACCTATAATCCTGTTTGTCAAGAGGATTAAAAAAGATTGTGACCAAATTATTAAAGGGATAGTTTAATTCATAAACTTGACTGTATTCATTTATTTCTATTCCCAGGTAAGTCTGGGAAACATAGAACGCTTTACTTTAACTTTTTAGTGTATCGAATTTAAAAAACGCTTTTCCCAACATTATATATACTGCTAAGCTTCTCATGACAGGCCCGACCCAATGAATAAAATAATGGACTCTTGGAGCCATCAGGGCCCTAGGGCAGCTGATTCCCCTTATTGTCAAAGGAGGATCCTGAAGCCTAGAGTGGTTAAGAGACTCGCCCAAATGCAGAGAGCTGGTCAGGGGTAAAATCTGGACTAAAACCCAGGGTCATCTGTCACTTTGCTTTTTTCATGATACCATGACTACCTTGCAGTGCCAAGGCTGTTAATATCTGG